GGGTGTGAATCCTTAGAGGCACGTCCTTTCTAAGTTCAGCAAGTTGATACTTTGCTATGATATTGAGCCACCATCAGCATCCTCACTTTCACTTCAATCATGGTCTGCATGAGTTCGATCCAGTTGTCTCGGGAGTTGAAGATCTGTAATCGCCACAAGCCTACCACATTTTATGGCGTAAGGGACTCATTCTTCAATTTTTTTTTATCTTTCATGTTGAGTATCGATGAAGTCGAAGCAACACTTTGGACTTGTTAATTGATGGTGTGTACATGTGTATTTACCTCCACAGGGCGCATCAGGAAGTGGTAGTAGAATTGATTTTGTTGGCTTCAAGCATTCTTCTCATGGTTTAGTATGTCTTCTAATGGCCTTGGGGACTCTGTATTAGCTAACTGCTTTTCTTGTAGACTCATTAATTGTTTGATTCTGCACCAGTTAAGAAATGTGCCAATCTTTTGCTTATCAAGGTTATCCGTGGTTCAAATAGATTTTTACTTTACTTGGTTGAGTGCCTCACTAATTTTGTTCTGAAGCCTACTTATTTTTGTATCTATCAGTTTGTAATTGTTGAATTTGTGGGTTTTTTTTTTTTGCACCCTTAGAGGCAGGATCCTTGGAGTGTCCACCTTCTGAACAACATACACCACGCACCAATAAATCCTGCTTGTTCCAGATTTAAGGTCTTTATCTGCCAATCTGTTTTAACACCAGGTGGAGGAAATGGGAGTCCTGTTCTGGAATCTGCGGCCACACTTGTGACAAGGTAATTTCATTTTGCCTTTTGCATTTCGTTAGTCTCATACTGAAGGTTTCTTCTCAAAGTCGGCTTCTGGAATTTGTGTCCAATCACAGTGTTGATATAGTCTCCACTTTTGGTATATTTGTCTGTAATTCCTTTTGTTGTGACATGGAATAGGGGTTATCTGATGTAATTAGTTTTGTAGTCTGGAAACCTTTTTTTCTGTTAGCTCCCTGTAAGAATGTGGAACTAGGTAGGATCTTAGCTTAACACGAGACTTTGAGAAAGTGAAACTTGCCAACGACCATAAGAACCATGAAGCAAGACTTCTTTTGTAGTGATTCTTCTTATTGAAGAAAATATAAAATTGTTATTCTTAAAGAAAAGTAAAATACAAATTGTCAGGTAATACTTGAGAAGACAAAAGATTTGATAGAGTTCGCAACATGTGAAACCCACCAATAGACTCCACACAAGGAAATAAGAAGAGTGAATCAAATATCACATTTCTCAAATGAAATAATCATCAAAGAAATGAAAAAAGTAAGTAAAGAAATTTTGGCGAGTAGCCTCAATCTTGGGTTAATGCCACATGGAAAAGAAAAATAGTAGCCTCTAGGAGTCTTGGTCATAGCCGGTTTTGACTTTTGGGTGTAAGAATAAGGTCCTGCTGGGTACAACTTGAGGTGCTTGTCTAGAAGAATGTTTCATGAAATGTCTCAACTGGCTTTGACTCTACTTGTCTTGATATTTGCCAAGGCCTATTGTCACCTCCGTAAAGGCCACCCTTTTCGCAATCTCAAACTTAGCTCGCCTCATATTGCAACTGCTCTAGGGCATATACTTTTAGGGTTGTAGTACTTGCCAGTCACAAGGAAGACTGTTCACTCTTACCTGTCATAGCAAGGAACAGGTTGATCTTATGCTGCCCAGGTTATAATGTCAGAAGGACTCATGTTGACGATTTTAGCTCTTACTTTCTTTGTGTTGATTATTCTGGCTCCTCCTCAAGTCTAGTTCTTCTTGATTGACTGTGGGATTATGATTTACTGCAGGTCATTTGATACTCTACGTGGAAGCCCACTTCTGCTGAAGTTGATCCCTGCAGTTGCTGTCATTGCTTTTGCTTCCTGGGGCATTCAGCCACTTGCTCGTTTAGGAAGAACCATTTTTTTCAATGTACTTTACTCTTTATCCTCTTCCTATCCCTATGCAAAATCGTATTTGGAACCCTTGATCTGAAATAAAGGTGTTGCAGATGAATGACAGGCAATGCCAGACTCATATCGTGTCCAAATTTCGTACTTGCTGTGAAAATTCTATGTACTTTTATGCATATTGACTTTGATGGATTAGTACTTAATTATCGTTTTTTCTTTAGTGATGCCTGGGTACATTGCATTCATTGTACTTACTGCTTAGTTCTTGATTATCATTTTATTTTACTGATATCAATGATAAGCGCACGCATTGGGCATTGCTTTTGCTTTATTTTATGATTATGTGGATGGAAATATAAGAGTATTGTCGGTTCCTCTCCTGGTCAACTGCTTGTGATTTTCTCTTTCTACATCTTCTTCGCTACATATTTAATGCCTTTGTATCTGTTTCTGCTCTCCCTAGTTTCTTTTTTCCACTGGTTTGGTGGGCTATTTCCCTGACTTGCCTATGTATTCAAATGTTTTGCAGAAATCCGACAAGAACTCTAACCTAAATGGTATTTACTATGCAATTACCACTTATCTTAAGCCTCTTCTACTGTGGACAGGAGCAATACTCATCTGCAGGTACTAACGATGACCACATATTGATTATGTTACGCTCATCCATTCCAGTTTTCCTATTAGTACTAACGATTGCTACTAATTTCAGAGCCCTGGATCCAGTAGTTCTTCCATCTCAGGCAAGCGAGGCCGTGAAGCAACGTCTTCTAACTTTTGTACAATCATTGTCAACTGTGCTGGCTTTTGCATACTGTTTATCAAGGTGTGTATATTTGGTGGGTACCTGCCATTTTGATAATTGGTGACTTCATTTTTCTATTTTACCACTTCTGCTTTGAGTTATTTTTAGTGTATGATGTGGATTCCGCTACCTGTTTTTTTACGGATGGTCTTTTGACAATGCATGATAGCCTGGGTTCTTATCATCTTGAATTCTTATTTTGACTTCTCTCTTCATTTCTGGTATGATCTGGTTTATTGAAATGAGTATCCACAGGGTTTTCCCCCCTTCTTTTGGTTCCAAATTCTGATTTTAATCATGCTCCTTTTTCTGTACAGCTTGATTCAACAGGTACAAAAGTTCTCCACAGAGACGAATGATTCTAGTGATGGTGCAAGAAATGTAAGTTCTCATACCTTGGGTTCTGCATGCTAATCACTTATAGAAGATAGCAGTGAATTAGTAGACACTGTGATTATAAAGTTTTTCAACTTTACTAAGTTAACAATGAATGTTTTGTACTTCTTTTTGGGAGCATGACTAACACCCGCAAGTTGAAGTTCAGTTACCTTGCTTCTGAAGGGCAATTGTCTGACCTTATGATGTGGGGTTGAGATCACATTTGAACCCGTTTTAGTAATACCAGCTAGTGCTCTTTGAATTTGGCTTGCAGATGGGTGTTAGTTTTGCTGGAAAGGCTATTTATACTGCGGTTTGGGTTGCTGCTGTATCACTGTTCATGGAATTGTTGGGATTCTCTACCCAAAGGTGGCTGACAGCTGGGGGTCTTGGTACAGTATTGCTCACCCTCGCTGGTCGAGAGGCAAGTAAATCCTTTTGTCAACAAACATGCTACTAGTTGCTAACATAAATCCAATTACCTTTTGTGATACTAATAGGTTCGTGTAGAGTTTTGCCGGCTGATTCCCTTCCGCATTCTAATAACTAAAGGTTCCTTTGGTTGTTTTGTGCATCAGATATTCACTAATTTTCTCTCAAGTGTAATGATTCATGCAACTCGCCCATTTGTTCTCAATGAGTGGATTCAGACAACGATTCAAGGTTATCAGGTTTCTGGAACAGTTGAGGTGCGTAGATTAGACTGTCATCACTAACTGCTAACCTTCTCCCTCCATAAACCACCTTTAGCTTAAGTCGTAATGGAATGTATAGATAATCAATCATTTTGTTATTGCGCCCTGTTTCTGCAAGTAATATATTTTCTTTGTATTGGTTTAGCATGTGGGATGGTGGTCACCAACAATTATTAGAGGAGATGATCGAGAAGCAGTTCATATCCCCAACCATAAGTTCACGGTTAGCATCGTAAGAAATCTCAGCCAGAAGACTCACTGGCGCATCAAGACGCATTTTGCCATCAGTCATTTAGATGTCAACAAAATCAATGTAAGAAGCTTATGGCATTTGCTTGTTGTGTAATACTTACGTAAAGCTCTTGGTGATAAGTTACCTGAAACATCTCGTTCGTGCAGAACATAGTAGCTGACATGCGCAAGGTTTTGTCTAAAAATCCACAAGTAGAGCAGCAAAGATTACACAGAAGAGTTTTCCTTGAGAATGTCAATACTGAGAATCAGGCTCTTATGGTCGGTCACCAGTTATATTATATAGCACCCATCCTTCTCTTTAATAATTTTCTCCCCCCATTTTCTGATTTTGTGTTTTGTTGCAGATACTTGTTTCATGCTTTGTCAAAACTTCGCGTTTTGAGGAGTATCTCTGTGTCAAGGTAAGGCAAAAAATTAGCAACACCTTATCTGATGTTCACAACATGTCACAAATTTGGTTAACATGCATACAGCCCCTGTAAACACGACGGACATTTTTGATTGCGTGGAGGAATCTCGGCCATTGCATCACAGCATTGTGACGCGTGTTGATGCAATGCTTGAGATTGCTCCATATCCCCGATCAGATGGTGTTAGCTTGTGCTGATAAGGATGCAGTTTACATGTATCATTTATACAATGTGTAGCTGACAGCTATTATTGACACTCCAGGAAGGCATACTATTGGATCTCCTTAGAGTCATAAGCCACCATCGAGCTCGGCTAGCCACGCCCATCCGTACCGTCCAGAAGATATATGGCAATCCTCTTGATCTGGATAGCATGCCGTTTTCATCACCAAGAGAAAATACTAATAACCGCTCACTGTTGCTGGTTGAACCTATGTATAAAGTCAATGGTGAGGAAAAAGGCAAAGCTCCTGGTCGTGGAGCGAGGCCTAGCGACGAGAAAGATGTCAAAGCAGAAGAAGCCCCCTCGACACTAGACAAGGCGACCAGTAGTCCACCACCATCTGATAAGCCGCCAACGAACTCCATTTTGAGCAGTGAACCTTCTGAGCAGGTTGTGGAGAAGTCTGCTGCTGCTGCGTCGACAACTGCAAGGCCTACCTCATTGGAGGAGAACATAGTACTAGGAGTTGCACTGGAAGGGTCGAAGCGGGTGCTTCCAATTGAAGAAGAAGACGAAGAAGAAAAAGAGACAACTCCTCCGTCTGTCGAAACAAAGGAGCTAGCTGCTAGCAGGAACGGAGGTGGATCATCATCTCCTAGCAGTACTGATAAAAAGGACAAGTCAGACGTTGACAAGCCATAGTTTCTCAGGCGACGGCAGATTGAGTGGGGAGTGAGATGATTAGTAATGTAGCATATTGGTTTTATTTTTCGTCGTCGATTTAACTTCTGTGCAGGAAATGCGGCAGCTGTGTTTTTCAAGCCTGGCGTGTAGGAGTTCATTCGAGCCTATTTTATTTTCCTATCCCCCTTTTGCCCGTGTCTGTGTGTATAGCTTTCTGTAGCTCTGGGGAAAGATGTGAAAATGCAAGTACAGTAGATCAGAAGTTCAAAACTAATGCGTTATAAAACATATGTATTCTCTCCTAGTAGAAAGAAGTCAAGAATCAGTTTCTTCGTTTCTAAGCCACTGCCACCCTTGTGAATCTGTCAATTTATATATCGAAATAGTGAGCTACTTGACGTCCGTCGGCCGTCGCTGACAGAACTGCAGGCTGCAGTTGCATGAATATACAAGTTGCAGAAGCCAGAAAGCATGATGTCGGATCGAAGGGCCTCAATGATCTAACAAACGGCCGTCACTGACAGAACTGCAGGCTGCAGTTGCATGAATATACAAGTTGCAGAAGCCAGAAAGCATGATGTCGGATCGAAGGGCCTCAATGATCTAACAAACACGACTGCCCATGTTTTTTTTTCAAACAACAAATCGTGCAAGTTATGATTTACACATACAATCAGGTGCAGGATAGGTGAAAATGGATTGCTTCTCCTTTCTCAGCCTAATCTGGCCCTGTCTATTTCTGTGACCGTTGAGAACTGCAGCTTCAAAGTCTGGCCAAACCATGCTCTTATTCAGGAACAATGGCCCTAACAGCACCATGTTTGGCCTTATGGTCTTCAAATTCAAATAGGCTCTGTGTCCCACCTGATCATGCAGACAAAAATAGCACGGGTTCGTTGTTAACACAAGAAGAAGAAAAGAAGTAGCAGTTATTTTCTGGTATAAGAAGAGAGACCAGCAGCAGTACCAATGCATTGTGCATGTTTCCAGGTGAAGCAGATATGAATATGTCGCTCTTCAAGCTGACATAATAATCAACTGCAGCTAATAGAGAAGCTTTCCCTTCAACCTTAGCCAGTTCATCTGCCGAAGCAAGAGTCTTCTTATCTTCCATCAGAGGGAATAACTGCTTCAACGTAGCAATCCTTGCTTCTCCACCATAGACCTTGAAGAAATAGATTATCTTAAGAGGGACACGGTTACTATAATGTTATGTATCAACAGGTTTCAAGAAAAACCTTGTGGGATGCGAGATAGAGGCGAGTATTGTTGCTGAAGCCTAAAGCTGCCAGAAGCAGCCCAATCTCTTCAGGTGTTAATGGACAACGCCCTTGACTCCTTAACTCATTGTCTGTGAACTGAGAGTTCAACACTCTTCCCTGCCAAAGCACTTGTCGGTACTTTGCCAGAGCAAGCTTTTCAGTTTTACCTCCACCAAAGTCACAGGCTGAGTGAGCAGCCATATCCTGCATGTGTAAGAAATATCAAGGAGATCAACTACTAAGAGAGAATCCAGATGAACACAGATTGTTCTAATGTTCAAAACTACTACAACTACCAGATAACAAACTCGAAAAGTGAACTCATCAAAATTGACCAAGAAACGTGTCAAACATTTGGAGAGAAGCTGAAAACTGTACTTTATCGAATCGAAGATGTAATACTACGTATTTTCCTGAGCCTTCATGTCCAGAACCATCAATGTTTTCCCTTAACCCTGATCCCAAGGCTTGGTGATGGGTATTGCGAAGACGATTAACAATCAAGTCTCCTAACACTTTGACATCACGAACAAATGCTAGTGCTTCAAAGTTCACTTTACATCTCAGCCGCTGGAGGTGAGTAGGCAGCTGATCAAAGGCCAAGCGATGAGAAAAGGGGGCAATTGCCACTATTCCATAGCTGCCAAGCAAAGAGCCAAAAAGTAATCTCTTGAGTGCAGTTATCTACCTGTTTTGACAAATAGATATGCTTCATAAGATATGTACAATGTTGGGTTCCAGAAACTAAACCATAGGGGTTACCTACCCACCTCTGAAGTACAGGCAAGACATTTTCTTGATACCACTGAGCAGAAGCATGGACAGGAGCTGTTTTGATTCGGGTAGGTCGTATACCTGTCGCATAGTACTCTCTAGTGCTCCAACTATACTCTCTGGGTGGTTCTTTAACTATTTTGACTTCATTACTCAGAACATTGATAAAATGATCCACATCAAATATGTCGCTGAATGAACTGCAACAAAAGCGTAACTTTTCCCTCTCAATGTGTACAAAGACTCCTAACCAGACAACATCCAAAAGGAGGTTTTACCTAGTACAAGTACCTTGAATCTTGCCAAACAGGGTTCAAATCAAGATGCGGAACAACAAGTGTTGCATTGAGTATCATAGCAACTGCAACAGCATCACACACCTTTTTTGACAGCCACAAGACACAGACAAACAGAAGAATCATGAAGAGGGGAGGAAGCAAAGATAGTTTACACCAAAACGAAACGTCGGAACTCAATTGTTTTGCGATTCTCAGGTACTTACTCCCATTCTTTGCTGGTTTAACCCACCATCCAGGAAGACTTGTATATACCCTTGTGAATTTGCAGGTAATGCTTCAACAATTGGAACCATGTTGTACGTTATAACACGAACAAAAGTTTCTCAAACACCCATATGAAATAAGGCCAAAACAATGCTTGGATTCTGAAGACTGATAACTTACAAGAGACAGTAGTTGGTTCATTACAAGCTTTCCATCCTTGGTCAGGCAAAGGAGCCCAAAGCTCAGACTGTTGTCTAATGGGCTACAATACCAAAGGCAGCTACTTTCACCAAAATTGATAGAAAACCGAGCGAAGAATGCTAAATTACAGAGGATCATGGAGGATGGGAAGAACAGGCACCTACTTACAATGTGACGATTCAAAGCAGCTTTTAGCAGAGGCAAGTGCCTTGGTCTCGGAGCAATCCATTCCTGCAAAGAAAAAACAATCAATCGGAGAACCAGGGAATGTGAGAAATGAACATCATAAAGATGAGATTTGAAGAGGGGGAAATGAAACACGAGGGATGGATCGAAGGGATCACAGAGAATAGAGACGGCGAGGCTCGGCCGAGGGGACGGAAGAGATGGGGGAAGAAAATTGGGAGAAGAATGGCGAAAACGCCAGCGAATGCCATCCTCTGAGACTGATTCTGGTGGTGGAACAGCCATTGCTTCATCGTCATCTTCTTCGTCGCCGCCGCCGCCGCCGTCGAATGCTGGATTTTCTTGGAGTTGCTACTTCCGATTAATTAGGCCAGCTGCGGAAGTGGGATTATGAAGTGGTGCGTTTTCTGCACTGTTTGAGCGCAGATCAACGAGAAATTGGGAATTTTTACATAAATAGCACGGTTTTTAAAAACAATTCCAAAAATAGCACCCAACTCCAAAAAATTCCAAAAATCGACATCCGTACCAGCGGGTTAGACAAAAACCGCCAACCGGAGCACGCTTTTCGATGAAAACCGCACTGGTAGGGGGCGGTTTTGCAAACCGCACCCCACCATGTGGTTTGTTTGCAGCCGCACCCCCACCATGCGGTCAGTAGGGCTGGGCATGCGGGCGGATCATCCGCGGGTTTGGGCCGACCCACCCGCATTTGACCCGAATTTCGTTAAGTGGGTGGGTTTGTGGGTGGGTGACGGGTTGCGCTGGGAGCCATCCGCCGGGTGGTGGGTGGTTGTGGGTGAGTGTGCGGGTGGCCCGCTCAACCCAACAACAAAAAGTTTAAAGTCGTTGGCGCTAGAGAGAGGAGAGTGGAGACGTTAGATATAAACTCGGACTGCTCCTAAAGTTTGAACCTCAAAGTCAACCTTCCAAATAGAGATCCCCTCTTCTTCCCTTTACTTTTTTCCTTTAATTCTTGTGCCTAGATCACCGCTCTTTCCTTTGTGGAATTATTTTCCTTAGTTCCTTGCACCTAATAGACGTCTCAATCTGTAGAAAACTATTTCATAATAGAATTTCTATCAAATTTAAGAACGAAGTCGACATTTTTCGCTCTATTTCAACTTCTTGTTTCCCTCGATGATTCTCTTCACCTATTATCATGTCAAGTTGACTCCTTTATATTATATACTATTTCAACTTCTTGTTTCCCTCGACGATTCTCTTCACCTATTATCATGTCAAGTTGACTTCTTTATATTATATACATTGTGATTGTGATGTGAGTGAACCCACAAACCCACCCGCATCATCCACCATCCGCCCGACCCAACCCGAGACTAAATGTGGGTGGGTGGTGGGTTAAAAATTATCAATCCGTTTAAACGCGGGTGGGTGCATTTTATGGTCAAAATCCACCCGACCCACCCAATGCCCACCCCTAGCGGTCAGCCTTTTTTTTTTTTGAAAAATCCTAATCTAGGTGGAAACTTCAAACTAACATATCTTTGTGTTCGGGTATCCGATCGTCGCGATTTTTTTTTTATTCTGCATAACTTTTTGAGATCTTGCAAGTCAAAGACTGCCGAAGGTGGTTTGGTCTCGCCTTCGTCCCAAAAAATGTCGTTTGCTACCCCGAACGAGCTTATTTCCGATTTCGTCAAACTTTGGACAACCATAACTTTGTACTCCAAAATCCAAACGACATGATTTTTTTTTTCGCATAAATTTTTAAGGAATACAACTTTTATCATAGACATAGTTTCGAAATGTACGTGGATTGCTGAAAAGGGAAGGTAAGCTATTCCCAAAATCCTGTATATCCAAAAATAATTCCCGTTTTGAAAATTCATTCCTAGTAAAAATTGTAGTACTTAAGAAGTTATGCGAAATGAAAAAAAAAAATCACGAAGTTCAGATTTTGGAGCACAAAGTTATGGTTGCTTAAAGTTATTGAGCTCCAAAATCTTAACATCAAGATTTTTTTTCATTTCGCATAACTTTTTAAGGACTACAATTTTTACTAGGAATGAATTTTCAAAACAGGAATTATTTTTGGATATACAGGATTTTGGGAATAGCTTACCTTCCCTTTTCAGCAATCCACGTACATTTCGAAACTATGTCTATGATAAAAGTTGTATTCCTTAAAAATTTATGCAAAAAATAAAAAATCATGTCGTTTGGATTTTGGAGTACAAAGTTATGGTTGTCCAAAGTTTGACGAAATCGGAAATAAGCTCGTTCGGGGTAGCAAAGGACATTTTTTGGGACGAAAGCGAGACCAAACCACCTTTGGCAGTCTTCGGCTTGCAAGATCTCAAAAATTTATGCATAATAAAAAAAAATCGCGACGATCGGATACCCGAACACAAAGATATGTTCGTTTGAAGTTTCCACCTAGGTTAGGATTTTTCAAAAAAAAAAAATAAAAAAAAAACAGACCGCATGGTGGGGGTGCGGTCTGCAAACAAACGACATGGTGATGGTGCGGTCTGCAAACAAACCGCATGGTGGGGGTGCGGTTTGCAAAACCGCCCCCTACCAGTGCGGTTTTCATCGAAAAAAGCGCCCCCGGGTGGCGGTTTTTGGGAAAGGTTGCTATTTTTGAAATTTTTCGGAGTTTGGTACTATTTTTGGAAAAAAAAAATAAACAGTGCTATTTCTGAAAAAATCCCGAGAAATTGGTTATGTTTTTTTTTCCAGACCAATATTATTAGAATAATAATAGCACCATGCGGATTAAAAGAAATAATTTGAACCACTTGTTTAGTTACCATATGGTCAATGTTATTGTATTTATGCGGTGCGAAATGAAATGAAGCATATTGGAGAGATGAAGTCAACATCTAAACTTCTTTCATAATGACACATCCCAAAGCGTGAGTCGAATCATTAACATTTATAAGTCAGATGCTTATCTGCACATAACCACATAAAAAGAACACGTTAGTGATAGGATGAGAAACACACTAACGCATTGCATCTCTAAGTTCATTAATCTTTTTTTATTATTAAACATTTGCATCTCTAAGTTCATTAATCTTTTTTTATTATTAAACATTCCCTCTTTTGGCGCTCCAACTCTAACTGACCTACCAACAAATTATTTTCTTGATAACCAAAAACGCAATATTTTGGGATGGGAAACGCTAACAACTAACAAGTTGTACTTTTTTCTCAAGAATTGTCCTTATAAGTAGTAGAGTATTCATAAAAAATACTAGTAGGATATTTTGTAGCTAAACCGTAATTTAGTAGTACATAACTATAAAATCCAAAACCGAGTTAGACTCCGATAACCAATTTTTCCAAATCGAACTGGCCAATACGGCCTAGCAAACGTCGCGATGATTGAAAAGTTTGATAGGACAAGCTTTCAGCAAATTAACTAATAACTACCATCCACCAGGCAGGATGAAAACATCAAACAATAGCTGCACAAGTTCTTGTGGAAGTATGGTCACCTGGCAAGTTCCTAGAAAAGGATTCTTCTACGTGATATCAACTTATCTGTCTAATCTTAGATGATCAGAAGGCCCGTAATCCAGACTAAAATGAACACAATCCCCCTACTGCGATTTTTCTGATATTCACAGAAACTGGAAGCTCTATTCAACCCTATACATTGCACACTCCCCCTCAACCCCCAAAGAATTGCACCCCACAAGGTTTCTATAAATCAATCACCGCCTCCGGAGACCTTTCTTCTCGAGGTGTCCCGTCGAGAGCCTCATCTTCCAACAGCCGAAGCCTTTTCGAAGGATTCTCCTCTGATAATCCTGCTTCTGCCTCAGCAGCTCCCACTATTTCTGCCACATTCCTTTTCAAGTGTGATGCTGAATTCCCTTCTAAGGCTTTCTCATCCACTATTCCGCGATCTTCTTCCTCGACTGCCTCAAATTGGGCAACCTCAGTTTCTGGCAAAGTGCCATTTGAGCCCAATTCTAAACTCCCTTTTGGGGATTTCTCGTCAACAAATCCAGGCTCTTCCTCTGCTGCCTTTATTTCTGGTATGTTGATTTCAAGCAGATTGCCATTTGATGCTGATTGTAAATGTGCATCACTGTCATGGAGTGGTGAGGTTAGACCATCACCAACAGCCTCTTCCTTCTGATCCAACAACGTCCTGCTCTCGTGTTGCAGTTGTATTGTCATACTTATGCTCCTGTTCTCTCCATGATTCTCCTTGGAATCGCAAGCCATATTGGTTGTTGTACAGTTCGTGGCACAAGTTTCCAACATGATGTCAGCAGACATTGAATCAGCATGGCTATCTGTCAGACACTCATTGTTGTTATCATCATCCAACGAACAAGTAGAAGCAGAAGATGTTTCCGGGTCGATGTTCTCCTCCTTGCATGCCTCATAGCCATTGGTGGTCAGGGGAGAGTTTTCAATGATCCCAACATCTGAAGAAGAATCATCAGATTCAGAGTCCGAATGTAAGGTTTCAGCTGGCGATGAATCTTCTGCATCTTCCCTCATGGTAATTCTGGGTTTCCGGGAGGAATCGCCAACAGTAAATCCTTGGTATGAGAAAGAGTTAGAGAAAACAGCTTCTTCCCCGGACGGGAAATCCATAAACTCATTATCTGGATCAACCTGCCAATAGACCAAACCATTCGTTAAGCGATCAATATTGGTGCAGAGTCAAACTCAGCTACAACATATAATACACTATGGTAACAAGAGAAGTCCAGTGCAGCTCTTTCAAGATTCTCTATCTTATGAATGTCCTTCCCTTGGCCAGAAAAAAGAATAAAAGAAAGACCACCACAAGAGCTGAAAATGATATCAGAAGTGACTTTCCGATGCATTCAAGTGAAATAAGAATTTCATGTATGAGTACCCACCAAATATAAATCACCTTACAGCAATGGAGGGAAATGGGAATACCTCCATAGGTTCCACGTCCTCATTGAGATGGTAATAAGATGATGACGGTTCAAAGGATGAACACTGAGCATGTAACGATCCTGCGGCTGCAACTTCAGGTTGAAAAAGTTCCCTCAGCACCAAATTCGGGTCACCAACAATACATTCAGAGTTCCTCACAGAAGATGATGTTTCTAAAATGGTCATCTCAATCCCCTGGCCACCAGGAAAACTTGATGAATTCCCATGACCACCTACTGTAGGAGGGAAATTCCTTGCCACAAACTCAACTCCCGATTCTTTCCCGTCGTCTGGAAAAATAGTTTGTGCTTTACCACCAACGCCACCCGAAGAAATACCTTCCTTGTCACGATTTTCCAAGAGCTCAGCAATCAGTTTCTGAATTAGAGTGCGTTTAAGCGATGCTTCAGCAGGGTGAAACCAGTCTCCACTCAGCTGTTTCACATTAATAGAAGAGAAAAATAAGTTGCACACTATTGACTGACCATCAGATCGACATTGCCACAAGTAGAAATCAGGGATACTACAGGTAACAAAGGTAG